CTCCCAAATCTCTCTGGATTCCCCACAAACAAAATGCACATGAACTGTGCCCTTTAAAGACACAACCCTTCCCGCAGCATTGCATGTCCTCTAAAGCACACCTAATGCTCAAGTGCAGCACAAGACACAGACACATAAGCACGCTTCAGAAGACACAGACGTCACATAGAACATGTCACCTCCAAATGCAGCCTCACCTGCTTCTTTCCCATATGTTCTTCCAAGCTTCAAGTCCTTAACATTGATTATTTTTGGAGGCATTATGCCAATATCAGAGTCCTGGCTGCATACATTTGCCTCATTGCCTTTTCCTTATTGGTTTATTTATGCATTTATTTATTCATGTATTTATTTATTCATTCATGTATTTATTCCCCACCTTGTTCCAAAATGGATATCAGGCGGCTTACAAGAATGCACAAAATACAACATGATAGCATAAATTGAAAGTAGATAAGAAAATAAAAGGAAAAAACAAAAACAAAAAACAAAGAGGAAAACATAAAATGGAGCCTGGAAGAAAGCTAATACAAAGTGCATACATACCATAGAGTCCCATTACAAGTGCTATGCATGGACCACACATTTGGCTCCAATCTTTCTAGTAGCCAACAAAAGAGAAACCTGATCAGTCCCACACTTCACAGGGTCCATAAAATAAAATCAAACCACTTGTTCAGGATGCCCTTTTCCTGGTCTAAATCCTATAAATTTTATATAGTGAAGTATCATAAAATTGTGTAAAACTCTCCCTCCTATCTTGCTCTAACACCAAGATTCAAGTCCTGGAAGAGTCTCCAACATAGATCTTGAAATCACATCTACTACTTCTTATTTTTCTCCTACCTGTCCCTTGAAGTTTCATTTGATCAATGAAATGTAGCTATTAAAAGGATTTCTTTAAAAACAAAGAAACAAACAAACAACAGAAAAACCCCTCTGCTATCACCAAAGCAAATAGTTCCATTTAAGTAATGAAATAGACATTGTGACATTTATAATGACAAAATTTGGAAAGGACCACAAATATACAACAAAAGGAAATGGTTAAATAAACCATGATGCCACCCTATGATGAAATATTACACACCATCAAAAATCATATTTATGAAGACTTTTTGAAAATGTAGAATATTCATAATAAAATGTTAAGTAAAAAAACAGGATACAAAACTGCATATATTATGACCTTAACTATGCACAAATTATATATGTGCATATATAGCCATAGAACAAGTCTGAAAAAAATCCACCAAAATGTTAACATTTTTTCTGGGATTTGTGATTATGGATGAATTTTTTTCTGTATGCTTATCTTCATTTTCTAAGTTTTCCACATTGATGAACAATTTCTATATAATGAGAAGAGGGACTAAAAGGAAAATTACCAACTCAGTAGTTACCTTTGGCTTGTGAAATTATGAGCAATTTTAATTTTCTTTTTCAGTTTTCTATAATTGACATATAAAGTCTAGTTAAGAAGGAAATTATTTAAAAAAAGAAATAAAAATTCAAAAATCCAGTATTTTAGTTGTTTGTCCATACAAGGTCCAAAATGCTACAAATGTAATGATATCACACAATTATTTAGCATTCTGGTACTTAGAATTGCATTTGATTATCACAGATATCTTGTGAGGTAGGTCAGGTATTACTACCCTCATTTAACAGGTGATGAAATTGAGGCTCAGTGAAGCTATGTGACTGGCTCCAAAATCACAATAATCAGTGACAGAGCTAGACATGAACCCAGATATCCAGAGCCCAAGTTCAGTGCCTTTCCATTAGTTCAAGACTGATTATGGTGTAAGTCAAGCAGACACTGAGAGGTAGGAACATAGAATCAGTAATCCCTCCTTACCCATGAGGGTCAGGTTCCTGAACAACCCCCAAAGTAGGAGAGTTCAGCTGAGGAGATCACAATTTTCGGAGGAAAAAAAATGGGCAGGAGAAGTGAGGTCACAAGTAAATTTTTGAGAGCCCTCATAAATATTTTTATGCACAATAAATAAAATAACAGTACATTACATAAAAAGAATAATGAGAGTTTATGTAATTTAAATTAGTAAAAATGATAAGCTTTAAATTTCCATTTAGATTCTGAGATGATTTCCAGAGGTGATGAGGATGTATCTGTCACTCATTATGGTAATGGGTAATGGGGGTGACAGAGAAGCAATGAACAGAGGTGGACTGTTAGTTTGAATCATGGATGTCTATGCTCTTAAAGTCACTGAAGTCCAATCCTGAAGTTGTCCCAACTTTCTTATGGCTTTAGCTCTATCAAGTAAGTGATTTTAAGTGGCACTACTTAATGACTTTGGCTGTTCTGAAGATGCTTCGGTCTTCTTAAGTCTTTTGTAAAGATACCTTAGCACTTTTGTATGGAGTTCAATTTAATCATTCAACCTATGTCTAAAGGCAGCTTATCAGCTGTCCAGTAAGGGTAAACGCACTACTTGATGATTTAGCCTTTCTGAGGTTGCTTTCTTCCCAATATTCTTTGTTCAGGAAGGACCTCTTTATTTATACAATTAAGTCATTCAAGCTTTGTCTGAAGGTAGTCTTATCAGCTGTCAAGCAATGTTATTAAATGTCACTTGATGATTTAAGTTTTGTTGAAGATGGTTTCTGCCCAATGTGGCTGGGTTTGAAGACATTATAGCACCTCTTTATAGAATGCTGCTAAATCACTCAAGCTTTGAACAGGTAAGATTTGACATGTAAAGATGCCAATTTTCATTACTTTATTGGGGAGGTTTTAATCTTGTTCTAAAAACTCTGCTCCTGTTGCTTCTAACTTTGTCTCCAGGCCCATAGCCTCCTAACTGTCTTCATCACCACCTATGATAATCACCTCTGGGTTACTGGAAGCTGCCTGAGGATCATCCTCTAGCAGCATATCATTCCAATTAGTGTCAACAGGCTCAGATTCAACTTCAGGCAATAATTACCCTTGCACCAAATGTTCATCTTCATCCATAGGTTCTTCTTGATCCAAAGATTCTTAGTCTTTCGGAGTGATTGCTGAAAGATATTTCACCATCTCTTGCCTGTTCTTCTCCCAGGTCACACTAATGACAAGTTTTGTTAAACTATCTAATGCCTCTTTTATCAAGAATGTAGCATTAGTAATGGTATAGGAATCTTATGCACTAGGATCTTCAGATAGAGGAAACTGCAAGATTTTGAACGAAGTTATATATTAGTTTAGTGTAAGTCTTCTTGAATGGCCAGATCAAACAATTTTCTAAGGGATCAAGGATCTGAGACATGTAGCTAAGTTATAAAGACAACCTAAACATTATCATGCACATGGGAAAATGTACCTGAGATACCAAATGGATTACGTCTTGAATTTCCATAAGAAATATAGCAATAGAAAAGCAAAAAGAGAAGAAAGTACTGTTGAAGCCACTCCTTAAGGAGAGGAAGACTCATCTAGGCTTTTCTGTTTGCTTGCCAGTATGCTGGAAACTTGGCTCAGTTGTTTTTTTTTTTTTCCCCTGAAAAGATATAGGCACAATTTTCTGCAGAGCAGCAATGGTTTCACTATGAAGTCACCTGAAGTACTGGCACAAAAAAGAAATGTCAGCCTCTCTGATTTTGCTGACCTCAGTATCAGTTGGCTCTTGCTCTCCAGAATGGCAAGTAGGATTATTCAAGGGTTTCCAAAGCATGATGGTCTCAATATCACCAAAGATCTGTGCATACACATAATCCCCTTCTTCAACCACTTTCTGCAGTTGTGGTGGATACAATACAGGAGCTGCAAGATCTAGTAGTTTGTTCTTTGGAACCACCATCACATAAAACCTGGTCTCCTGGTTATGGTGCACCTTACATTTCTCAAATTATCCCTTGCTCTCAGCAATTTTTTTTTTTTCTGGATCTAGTTCAGTGTCTAAAAACATGTCTTTGAAAATTTCCCTTGCATGGTCACAGATCTCTTGCATGGAATGTGGTTCATTTATTTCTTATCTTCAATCCAGAAGGTTTAAGAGATTTTCATCTTTTCCATCCTTGGGTCATGAAGAAGCATCTTTTAAGTGATGTTAGTGTACAAGAGGCAATTCTGGCCCTAGTAAGAGGTTCAGCTTTCCTTGTCATATGAATTGTAGATTCATTAACACCATATAGGAAACCCACATTTGTTCTATCTTGAAGAATACTGAGAATGTCCCTTTTGTTTTCCAAAGACATCACCCTTTTTGCCCTTCTGACAACTTTCTATGCTGCCAATGCCCTTGTACTTGCTTCACTTTCATCTGCCTCAATAGTCACATCTATAGAAGCCATGTTTGAGTTTTATGCTATTAATGCAACCTGACAATTACTTACTAGAGATTTCATATCCCTGAGTGTCAAAAAATGTTAGCAAATGATATTTAAGCACCAAATGGTATTATGAACATCAGAAGGATAAATGATAATATATTGTTGTGATGCATGGGCTGATTGTGCAGGGGACAACTGGTAGAAGAATGAGAGTGGAAACAAATGACTCAGAAGTTTCTTCCCACCTTGTGATATAGTCAAAGAGACAATATTGTGGCCACTTGGACTGACTCCTGTATACTCAATTCAAAATATTCACACTTACCGAAAAGGTATACAGAAATAAATCAACCTATACTCAAAGTTCCAAGAAGAACAACTTAAATTTAGGAAGGGATTGTTGTAAATTCTACTCTAAGTTATCAGAAAGAAAGTCACTGTTTATATATTAAAGACAGTACTGTTTCTATGATTTCCCTTGGCTTAACACTATGCATTCAATTTTATGTGAAAGGCAAACACAGCATAAGTGTATTTTCTGTCTCCCCACAGTAAGTCAATCAAACATTATCCTCTGATAAAATGCAACCTCCGAAGATGTAGATGTAAAAGGGCAGACAGGCCCTGAACAGCCAATGCTCAAGAAACAACTACCCAAGAAAGAAAGTGACAATGAAAGAATAAACTAGCCCCTTTTCAATGCCCGACCACTGATACTTTACTTTTATCCCCTCCTCCTGGGAAGATAGAGCGAAGCCTGGCTTTCTTATTCTTCTCTTCAGGGGCCATGGGAAGTGGTTTGGAGCTGTGGTTGAGTGCAGATGAATCCCGGTTGTTACTATTCATTCTCAGTGGGGGAGCTGGGGGTTTCTCTTCATTATCCAGACCGTCAGACATTTTCAGTTACAACCGGTTTCACAGCTCCTAAAGAAAAGGAAGAGAAAACAGGAGTTAAGGAAGGAGAAGTCTAAAAAAAAATCTAGTAAATATGGGGATTCTAACCTCTTAGACACAAAAGCATTGGTCTCACGTTTTCTCAGGATTTGTGTGGATCATTTTAAGGGGTTTCCCTTCTGGAGGGAAAAACGTTGCCTCCCCAAAGTCTCCAATGCAATTTTCAAAAGAGGAAAGTGAAGGTAATAATTAATGGCTTTTCAATATGTATACAAAAACACACAAGACTCCTTGTTTGTCCCACGATGAAACTCTTACTTTTTGCAATCCAGTCACAGTCTTTAATGAGCAATTTACAATCTTCTTTAAATATTCTACCTGATGATTGCAATGGTCAGGTGTTCAATCTCCTCAGAGTTTGGAATTTACACAGGTTTGGCTGTTGACTTTAATGGCCCATAATAATGATTTGTTAGCTGCTTTAACATTGGGACATCCTTGACGCCTGATTCTTACTTGTGTGTACCTGATTCACAAAATGCACTCTCCTGTTTTATGGTAATTAACTGAGAAACCATCCCACAGATCTGGTAGTTTCAGTAGAGTTGGGGTATGCTGTTAGGGCAAACAATGCTCAATAGTCTCCCAAGCAGGTAGAAGCTAAAGGTGGGCCAAATGTCACCATGAGCAAAGAAGAGCTCTAGAGGAGAAGGTCACTTCCTGATGAGACACCATAACCTTATTCTCTGTCATATTTTATGTACTGGAACACAGAACAACAAGCGAGATAAGATCCAGTCTGGGTTTTAGGAACTAATTTTCTCTTAATTTCACTGTTCTTTAGTATCTTGTGTCTAAGTCTGAGTACATTTGGGTTTCATTCCCCTATAAAAATAAAGTGAACTGGAAAAGCATGAACTCCCCAAGGAAATGTTTCTGTCTCCAGGTGTTTTCTTACTGTAATTCATGTCCTTCCACAAGGCCCTGACACTTAGCAACACAAGTTGGGTGCTAAGAGTAACTTCCAAGTGAATCCCCAGTTTGATTTCAAGGAAAATCAAATCTCTTCACAAGAAAATCCCTGTAAATTTATCAAGTATTACTTAGCACTAATTTAACAGCGTAAGAACTCTCCAAATATGACTTAGCATATCACATTGTTTCAACAATATGTATTATAAGCAAGCCTAAGAACAACAATAACAAAAGCAGGGGTCTACTTATTAACTGTTGCAATGAGAAATAATCCATCATAATTCTTTTTAGCCCTTTGGTGGTTAAAATGTGTTTATTATTTTCAGTAATGCACTCTAAGCTACATTGTGTTATGAGGAGAATTTTAAAAAATGTGCTATGTTTTAAATTATCTCAAATATATACAGTCTATAATTATTCAAGAATAGGTTAGTATTAATTAATAGCTTCTTCATCTGAACAGATGACTGCCAATTAGCAATATTTGGCTAGATCTTGATTTGGATAGGACATCTCTTTTCTTTTGCCTAATTGTCATGCCCTGCATTATCTTAATGAATTAAGATCAGTTCTGTATTTTTTCAGTAATCACAACAACGAAAATACTCAGGAATAAATGCTTTGTCACTACCACCAACAATTTTGCAAGCCTCACATTTGCTTATATAGGTGAAACTATAGTACAAGGTACAATAAAAAAGTAACTGTGGGCCATGTATGATGGTTCACACCTATAATCCCAGCACTTTGGGAGGCTGAGGTAGGAGGATCACTTGAGACCAGGAGTTGGTAGCAAGACCTTATCTCTATAAAAAATGATTTTAAAAAAGTAACTATGATGTCAAGAATAAAGTATATTTATAGATACTACTTGTACTAGTAAATATTTTAACTAGAACTTAAATTTAGAGTTTAAATTTAACTAGTGCTGATGTGTCTACATTCTCTTTTGCATTTTGATATTTGGTCCTTCTAAATTCACTGTCTCTCTAGAATTAAACTCAGTTTAGGACTGACTGCACCAGTGGCGTTACTTGTACTGGACAGGTTAATGGTTTTCATTTAGTCACTGAGAAAAATTTGCCACCAGAAATAAGGTGCTAGTTTTTTCTGTGTCTGTTTGTTTGATTTACACTTTTCTGGGTTCAGAAATAACACAAAGATGTGGAAACAACCCAAGTGCCCATCAATACATGAGTGGATTAATAAAATGTGATATATGTACATCATACAGTTCTACTAACCACAAAAAACAATGGTGAATTAATACCTCTTGTATTATCCTGGATGGAGCTAGAGCCCATTCTTCAAAGAGAAGTATCCCAAGAATGGAAAAATAAGCACCACATGTACTCACCATCAAATTGGCTTCACTGATCAACACCTAAGTGCACATATAGGAATAACATTCATCGGGCGTTAGGCAGGTGGGAGGGGAGACGAGGGGATGGGTATATACATACATAATGAGTGTGATGCACACCATCTGGGGGATGGACATGCTTGAAGCTCTGACTGGGAGGACAAAGGCAATATATGTAACCTAAACATTTGTACCCCCATAATATGCTGAAATAAAAAATAAATGAATAAAATATTAAATCTTTTTTTAAAAAAAGAAATAATGCCCAAATATGAAGTCATTATTCCATAAATCTCAGATATACAAAATCTAGCTTTGTGAAAATAATGAAATTTCAAAGTTACTGCAAAGGAACTGAATATTTAAATCGAAATACCTAGAAGACAGATTTCTGAAAAATGTGTCTCATAAGGAAAGAGAGCCACCATTTTCTGGATAATATATATTTTCTGATGACATATTACTTCAGATGACAAAGAAACATGCCCCATGGCCTCTTTAAAATGATATCCAAAGCTGATTTTACATAATAAGGCAAATAAGAGTCTGGGCCAGTCATGGTTCTAGTGCAACTACAGAATTTAAAATACTATGCTCCTTTGTTCTTGATAAATAGGTGTGGCTAACAACAGAGTTGCCTTTTTTATTCTAATTACTCCCTCTGACTAGAAAAGCAGGTAGATGCTCTGCTTCTTTTCAGGCTGCCTGATTATCCTGACCTTATTTGACCAGGTATAGTTTAGTTTGGGAAGAAAGGGATACTTGGGATCTGAAACTCAAACTATACTCTTTCTATATGGAACTAAAAATCCCACATCAAAATTTCAACAACATACACTTACTGTGGTCAGTATCACAGGCATTCTGCAGAGGACCCAGTTGTAAGGAATACCTTTCTATTGCCCATCGAACTGGACAGTGTTTCAGTTTAACTCACCAAAGCATCATAAGAAGGGTTAGAAGAAATATTTTATGGAGACAGAAATGAAATTGAAGAACCTATGTCCAGTTCCACACCAGGAACTGAGTAAAATAAAGTATGGACCAAATAATCTGTTTCCCTAGACATTTCCCAAAACCTAGGTATGGTTTTACTTGAATTATTCTGATACTACTTCAGCTCTTCACTACTCTTTACAAGGCACGATCAGTCATCATCTGCTAACGATTCCAGATAATTCTGATTTAGTGACAAAAGAGTAGTGCAGGAGGTTCTTGCTATCTTTAACTCACTTTCAAAGCACAGTTTTAGAAGACCAATGGAGAAAGGGTAGGGACCTGCAAGGAAGCCTTGCTGTTAATGTATTTATTTCCCAAGTGGGAGGTATCTTCTGCTATTGACAAATGTAAAGAAAAGAGGATTCTATTATGATATGTTTATAAACAATGCCAATCTACTAAGCCAGGTCCTCCCCTGAGACAGGTCTATACAGAGGACACTATTAATGGGTTTTGCGGGTTCAATCCACCTATGATGTCATTATTTCCAAGATCTTGGAAGAGACTATTTTTGTTTGGGGTGGCCATAGGCTCTATTTCAAGAATTGTACAAAAACACCATTATTCTCTAAGAACCCAAATGAAAAACCTGTTTATCTTTGAAGTTTAACTGTTGTCGTTCACTTTTACAACAGAACAGAAACATGCAAGTAAGTGGCACATTGGATCTACCCACAGGCATTCATTTCACTTTTTAGAACTTGGCCCTTAGCATTGTGGAGAAAAAGCTAAATTTAATGGACAACCAGCAACAGTTTATATCTCTTCACAAATTAATTACATACTTAACAACTAGGTTTTTCAGAAATAATTCAAATGGTTTCTGTGGATGGTGTATATTTTTGATCCAGCCCTTGGGACTTAATGTGGTTTACCAATGCTCTGTAATTACAATTGAAATTCATCAGCAATAAGAAATATGCCTCTTGCAGCATCATGATACCCAAGGAGTCTGAACACCCCTATTTCAGAGTATTAGGACAGATTACCTCTCTCTTTCCCTTTCTCCTTCTCTCTCTCTTCTCCCTCAACCCACCAAGTGTGAGGGCACGTGCACACAGGTGAATACATGAACACATATACACAGCCCCTCACTGACCTGCCTTGACACAGACCTTTACTGCAAAGCATTTTAGAGAAAGACTATTATCAAAATTCATGGCAACTGTAGAGGAAAGTATTAGGCATTACAAATAATTGTCATTAGTCTCTCAGTCCTCCAAAAGGTAGTCTCTTAATCAGTGCAATGCCAAACTGGACACTCAGGTAATGCTTAGTAGGTTAAAAAAGAAAGCCACCAACTTGCATGGATCCAGAAGTCAAGGGGAAAGATGAGTAAATCAACTGTACTCTAGCTAATGTGACCAAAACTCATACTATGGGATAAGTGTTGGATTGGATACCACCAAAAATTCCAATTTTGCCCATTTGCCACAGGCACTTTACCCAGGTATGTGAAGGATGAGAATCCAGAAATACCAGTCCTACAGCTTGCAAGGTCATCTATTAAGCGACAAGCAATTGAAATAAATATTTTATCAGATCTGATAACATCAGAGACACATACAGAAACAAATGTATCTACATTATTCTGTCTGGTTTTAAAATCTAAATAACTATTTTCGTACTTTCCCACTGAAAACCAAATCAACCCTCCTTTCAAAAACAAATGCCCAGGCCAGTAGATGTACAG